TATATTGTAGCGTCCTCATCAGGCAGTGATGGGGCTGGTGATGTCAACCCCAGGAGAGCAGGCTGGGATAGATGGGAACCTATTTGGGATAGTTGAGAACTATCAGGGACATTGTTAACTCTGGGACTTGGGAGAAGGGACAGGGATTTGGGTCCATGTTATATGAGTGTAAGTGCATGCCTGTCCCATGTTTCCCCATCCTGCTATGTGGTCTCAGGTTCCCACCCTGACCTGCCTGGCCTGTGTTAGTCTGGACCACCACCTTCACTCAACATTGCAATGGTCTTGTTTTTGCTGGTTGGTGAGAACAGTTTTTTTTTTGAAGGATCATGGAACCATGCTATTTCAACTAATAAAAGAGTACTTCCATTGCTCTGTTTTGTGTCTTTATTGCCCATGTTACAATATATTAATGTGCAGGTCACAAGACATAAGTAATTTATTTATACACTGCAGGTTTGAAATGAAGAGCTTTCACAGTGGTAAGCGCTTATTCAATGATGCTTGACAGTAATTACATTTCTATTACATGATCTCAAGAGGATTTTTCCCCAACACAATCATGTGGCCTTTGTCTTGACTGTATTTAGATTCAAGCACGGTTTGGAAATGTATTGTTAGTAATTAAAAGTCACTTTGCAAATGCTTGCTTTTTAATAGGTACTGTCTCTCATGGGCTTGTATACATTACACAGTTTTTGTCCACCAGTAGTATAGCTTTCAGAGTGCACATCAGCAAGAGTGATTGAAATTGTAGAGTGCAGCGTTAGAAAATGTCACTTATGACGCCATACTCTTAGGGTCAATCTGAAAAAAAGAATGAATTCATAGGCAGAAACGTTCAGCAATTTGGAGATTTTGTGTGGAATCTCAGGGTAAATGACAGGGTGCTGAAAGGGTCACAGAATTAAACTCTGGACAGAAGACTAAAGAACTTAGTATTAACTTATTAGTCTTCTCTCAGTCTATTCATTGTAACTCCTTAACGCATATTCATTCTGAGAAAAAAAAAACATCACAGTTTGAAATCGACTAAATAGTCACAGGATTAAAAAGCTCAAATCAGTCAAACAGCTGGTAGCACAGAAATAACCATTATCACCGATTAAAGGAGCCAGATTGGAACAATAGGCATTAAAGAGGATGCACTGATTGCTGAAAAGCTTACAGCAACAGTGTTTCACGTTACTTCCATCTCTCCACCCCTTGTGAATGTGCAAACACCCCCCTCCCATTCCTTAGTATTCAGCTATCAAACGTTTTGCCCCTCTCAGAAGCTACTTTCATTGCTCAGCATTACGATAAGGTTTTTTTTTAATGAGAAAATTATCTTTTATTCTGTAAAATTGCGTCCAGAGACCACTTACAAATGTAATAAAGTGCAATTTGTTCCAAGATGCCTAGCTACACGTACAGGGAAGAATTTGGATTTATAATAAACCCCTAGGAACTGCAATGAACGAAGAATTCCATTATCGGATGATGACCAGATCCCGTCCTCAAGAACCGCTCTCCAGCACGTTTTTAAGTCTCTCTTAATCTTGTGTAATTAGCGCACCGTCTCGACGAGGTACAGTACTCTTAAAGACGATAGTCGCCATTAACAGAGAACGCGTCAGCGGCCACATTCGCTGTCCTGTTCGATATTTCACTGTGCACTGCAGCTCTCGCCAGATACTGTGGAGGGGTGTTCGTCTCCACTCATGACAAGTTACACCCTTGTGAGAAGTGTGGAAGGAGGATTTAGTTGCAGTCCACGCAGGCTCTTTGAGTACAACGCACTTTTGTTGCACTTTTCTGCAATTTCCCTCACGGGATCAATAAAGTATCTATCACTTCACCCCATTTCCGAAACTGGGGCACGGCAAGAATTCGTCCTGGAGGGGATTCAGTTCAATTCAGTTTATTTTTATATAGCTCCTTTCACAACAAGTTTGCCCCAAGGCGCTCAACATGGATGGGGATGGGGACGTCGCTTCCATCTAAAATAATCTTCCGGTATCCATCAAACACCTTTAATCTTTTGTTTCCGTTTATAATTCTGCGTTAAGATATCATGGCTCCCCACGCTTCTGTTAGGAGAAAATTGAGAAGGAGATCCCACAGCCCAAGTAACAGCGGTGCGTGCGGGTCAAGATATAGGAGTTACTTTTTTTTTTTACAATGAAGACGCCACATCATTTCGAAACTTCCTTTGTGTTTCGTTTTGTTAAAACTGCGTTTCCTTTAACTTCGAGAGTTTAAACTTCACAGGTGAACTTCAAGAGGTAACAGGACGTGTAAGTTTCAGTACGACTCTACGGCTGTTTTTTTAAATAACGGATACATTTTGATTTACAAAACTATTCGATTTCAAATTCTAATACATACACAGCATGTTGGGTATACAGCATGTTAAAGTCAAACTAATTTTGATTAGGACTAAGGTAACAAGTTAGCTGAACCATGCGTACAGTTACCTGTGGCAGGTAGTGTCCTCGGTTTCTGTCCTCCGCTGCAGCGGCGCTATTTTTCGGTCTCGGTACCTGGCATTTAATTTGACAGTTTGGCTTGGAAACGTGGGGTTGATAAGAAAAAAACAAACTTTCTAGGACTGTGAAAATGGCAGAAGAATTATTGGGAAACAGCAGCCCCAGCTCTGCGATTGATATCATACAGTTCTCAGAGTGGCCAGGAACATGATAGCTGACTCCACACACCCACCTCCATTCTCAATTCATAACACTCCCATCAGGGAGACGGTCCAGAGTACCTGATTCACATAGAAACATTTGTAAGAAGTCCCTTGTCCCTCTGCAATAAAACTGCTCAAGGAAGGTATGTAAATATCTTCCTCTAACTATTGATTCAACTATTTATGTATCATACTGTTGTTGCGATTTTATAAGACTCTTATGTTTTGCTTGTGTGTTTTGTACTTCTGTGGAAGGAGCCAACGACAACAGCTGTGGACAGTAAAGTATCTAATTGCAACAGTTCACGCTTTGCCTAAATGTTAGTGCAAAATATGGTTCTATGTCGCCATCTAGTGTTCTGTTATCTGTGTTGCAGCAACGGTGTTACAAGATAAAGCACACTTCAGTACTTGGATTTCAAAGCAAATACCGTTTAAATTAATTGAAATAAACATTTATCCTTATGCTCTGTTTTTACTGTTTGTAAAACCTGTTTCTTAAATGTTCATACTTTACTATTTTTTTTTTCACTTTTACAGACTGTGACCTATGTAATAAACTAATACCACCTCTAAAAGTTGCCTGCATTTCACGGGGACTCTGAAGCACGTTTTTAAATCGGAGCTCTACAGTACGTGGTGGACACTTCAACACATTCTAACCTTTGCTTTATGGACTTATGGAAAAAAAAACCTTGAATTCTTTTAAAAAACAAAAGGCTACTGTTTATCACATAATCAAGGAAAGGCGGAAGTGCGACATTCATAATAATATAGAGATGTCTCGAAATACTTTTCCAGCTCTCCCAACATGAACTGATCCCCTGCACCCCCTCAAAGAATTCATTAATCTAGGTGTTAGTGTTTTACAAGTGTAAGCCCGTGTCCTGTTTTATTCACTTACGCAATTTAACATATTCTTCCGTTATACAGGATTCTCTATCTACAAACTGAAATAGGTTTACATTAATATACCTTTGTTCTCTGATTGGTTACGGGATAACGTGACCAGAGAAAAAGGGGAGAGAGAAGGCAGAGAGAGAGAGAGAACGCAGCAGGCGTCAATGTGAGTGGTCAGAAATAAACTGTACAAAGAATATCCGTCTTCATCCCGTTCACATCCTCACAGGCAGAGAGCTTAATCACCATCGCACGAACCCTACAGTTACACATGTACAGTACAGCTAGTACACGGTACCACTGCACAGCTCAATATCCTCGTAGCATTACAGGACTGCTGAGGAACAGGTAATAGGTTTATTCCATGCTGAGGAGAGAAGAAAGAAAACACAACGTTTCGGCTGTGGAGCCTTCTCCGGGTGTGAGCAGACCCGCACACCCGAAGAAGGCTCCACAGCCGAAACGTTATGTTTTCTTTCTTCTCTCTTCAGCACGGAATAAACCTGTTAATGTACTTGTTCCTTTGCGGCCTACGCGTGCTGACGCAGCTCCGCCCCGTATTACAGGACTGGACATCAGCATGTTCCTGTTACCAGAGGGGCGTAGAGGCTGAGATGATTGTGGGAATGAAGGGGCAAGACCACTTCGCTTGGACGGACTTCGGATTTAGTGTAACTGTCATGAACAGTCATTTTTTGAAAATGTGATTAACTACTTTTTTTCATTGGATTCCAAAGATTGTTAAGGTTTGTGCCAAAGACCATGAGTGTAACTGCAGCACGGCATATTTTTTGGGGGGTTTGCATTTGATGAAAGTGTGAAGGTGATCTAGTACCGGTGTACCGTCAAGTATGGTTTTCTGATTCCCTAGTTTATATACAGCACAGAATACAGTGAAACGTGATTTTTTTATACACAGCTCCGTCATATATACATACATATTCCGGATATCTGTACAGTATATCTCGTTGGTAATTTGACGGATGGTCGGTAACACGAGCGTTTAACTCTACTCCACTGTATTCAAATGCCACTGAGAGCCTGGAGCTCAAGAAACATTAAACTGTAAGACAGCTCCAGGGAGAAACGGCTAATTGAATTCAGGATTCATTTTGTTATGTAATCTCACTTCCAGAATCAGCTTGTTTCAGTTTCTTTTAGCCTTGGAGTGTGTTTCAGTGGGAGAAAGATAGCGAGCCTGGTTTCCAAGAGGTCTGTGGAGGAACAAAGACTGAAAATCTTCCAGACAAGACGAGCCTCTTGTTTAATCGGTATCCCAAAGGGATTAAAATGCGAAATGAAGTTAAAAGTTTTTTCTTTCTTGTTGATTTATCCATCGAAAATGTCAATCACTTGATCAGTTGGCCCTTTTCCTCAATCTTTTCATCTGTGCGTGCAAGTCAGTAAAGACTGTCAGAACCCACTCTGTGATAAATAACGTGTTTTATTTTACTGTATTAAAAATAAAACAGTATATGATGTAAAGCGGACATCTTAGGTAGATACAAACGTTTGTTATAAGTAGAATTTTATACGTGTGCTAGATCCAGTTTATACCTGCCCTTTACGATACAAATGACTGGACAAGGGCTGTATATTTGTGCTTAACCCCTAATACACCAAGCACACAGAACAGAACTCTGCCACAGCGACTAGTCAGCATTATGTCACAAGGATCTTTAATTATTTACAAAGAAGGTATATAAAATGTAAAACCTTAGAAAACAAAATTGCATATAAAATCATCTCAACCCCACACATTTCACAAAGAACAGAAAACAAAATCCTTCATTCATGTAGCTCTTTTTACAAGTGCTTGTTTTGGTAAACATAGTGATTGGTACTCACCGCTTTTAATTGCAGAGTGTAGCAGAAACACACACACACAAGAGTGTTTGAACAACTCAGGCTTTGGAACACTTGTCATTTTCTCTGTAAACTCCATTTAAGAAAAATGCAACAACAAAAAAATAAAGGAGTCAGTTCGAATGGTTATCTCTTGGAATAAGACAGACATGGACATGTTCTACTGGTCCTGCAGGACAGCAAGCTGAAAACAACCACTTCATAGTAAAGGCCACTCTACAGCTATGATCATTTTACATTCTCACTGCTTCTTTGTTAACATCAGCAAAGACACACAGACTGTAATGACATTTATGTGCACAGTACAAGAGACCTGCTATTGACTTCAGGTTGCTAAACACAGAACAGATGAGTCCATTATCAAGATGGCTAGAAATACTGCTGCCTACAACAGCTCAAGGCGCCTTGGATCGATTCTGGCCTGGAACACCTTCTGTATGGAGTCAGCATGTTACAAAAAACATTTTAACTTCACATTAAATTTAACTTGCTAATGTTACGAGCAAATTGGGATCTTGTACATTTGCAAACAGCAGCACAGTATTGTTCCGAATTTGTATGTTTGTTTTAGAGTTCTCTTTAAACCTGGACTCTTGTGCCTGGCTACAGGTCTAATTACTAAAAGCTATTAGAGATTAGGATTTTATTATCTCTGTTTGGAATTGTAAGGTTGTGTCAAGTCAAACCAGGCAGTTTTTTTTCTGATCAACCAAACAGTTAAATGTTTGCCCTCAAACACAATATGTCACAACACAGTCATTACTACGTCATGTACAGTAACTACTATCATAGTTGTAAACTGAAATTACATCAGCGTGTGTTCCGAAAATACTGATCGAGACAGAAACGGTTATTGCTGTTGGAACTAGGGTAGTGTTTATGAACAATAAAAACATTATTACAAATTACAGAACACTGAATTTACACTGTTTTATTATTAATGATTAAAATTAAATTTTGTAAGCTTTTAATGATCCGGCAAAGCATTTGTTTTTTGGAGAAATTACATACTGCATTTGGGAACTTATTTCAATGAATAATAAAACTGAACACTTCTTATAGTTCTGAAGTAAGTGTGGTACATATTTGATCACCTCAAGCATTAGAAACCTTTTCTTGCATATTCAAGTATCCTCCAAGCATGGTTGTCTACCCTCTATTAAGGGGGAAGAACTTTCTCTTGCATTCAATCCATCTTGTGCTGCTCAGAACTGGCTCAAGAGATTTTTAAACGGTTACACCTGCTCTCGGTTTTAAACACGCACTTGAACGTTCTCTCCTGCCAACCTGTGCTTTGGCATCACAGATATCTTTGCTTCGCTCAACAACGGCTGTGGAAGGCAGGTTACTGGGACAGGCAAAATACTCCTCCTCTGCCCATTACTCCCCTCATACTCTTCAGAACAGGAACCTGGACCCCCTTCATGCGTTTTGCTTGGGTGGGGAAGCTGGCAGCACACGTTAAAGAAATATCAGCATGGCTTGTTTTTCCAACAAGGAAAAAAAATGACTTTGTTGTATTCAGTTTCCCTTAGTTGTAAGGTTATAGAGAGGAGGCCGGTCAGTCCATCCATGTTGTTGATACTGATACCCTGGATTAATTCCAGAAAAGACTGGATGTGATCCTGGGATCAATAAACTACCAAATCCCAAACGGGTTAGATGACCTGTCTCTTGTTCTCATCATGATTATTTGGGTATCAGTACTTAATTGATCCGTGGACTGAGTATCTAGAATGAGGGTTTGAGGGCTGGGTTTCAATGTTTTTGGTTGACAAATTATATTAAAAAGGCTTCTTAAATGAGGTTATTTCATTATTATTTCTAATTCGAACACTATGTAGAATGAATAAATCTCACATCCTTTTTTATCTGTTAATGAAATTATTGATACACCTCAGGGCTCAAATGTGGATGGAGTTAAGACAAAATTACTTTCGAAACCCTTTGTAGCATGACTATTTGCCATATTCAGGATAGTGTGGTAGTGGCTGGTTCTGTTTTGTGCAGCACAAGCACAGAGATGTTGCTGAAATACAGAAATGTGGTACCAGGATGTTGAAGCAAGGGACACCATTCACACTGATGGGTTTTTAAAGCACTCCATAAACAATATTTTCACCCTGAATGAAGCTGAGCTAAATGTGTCAGTGCAATACTACTGTATTTGTGTTTTTCTAATATGAAACCACTCGCACACACTTTTCACTACATGTGGGCAACAGAAATATAAAAAAAGGATTTAACAGTCCTACTCCAGTTGTAAACATTTTTTATCACATTGCTCTAACAGTAAAACACAGAGATTTGTTTAAATGGCGTCTGTTCTTTTTTCCCCAAAGTCAAGACGTACCGACGCCATCAGCCTTGTAGTTACTGGAAATGGAGGCCAACCTCTTTTTTTTGCTCAGCCCCTAAAAATCTACAAAGGTGTCACTGACTAACAGTCTACTCATCTTCAGTTTGCCAGCCACCGGACAAATACATTCAGATGCCCCAAAGGCCCTGTTACCATTGCCTGAGGACACTTTCAAGATGGTATTTTGTCTGGTTCCTTATAGGCCACAAAGAATCCTCTTTGAATGGCAAGCGGAGCTATTCTGGGGTTATGTAGGCCACATCCCAAATTTAAAGGCTATGAGGTCAGCTCTTTGACCACCAAATCCACCCTTCCATCCATTTTCTAACTGCCTGATCCAATTCAGGGTCACTGGGGAGCACCTGGCGCATGGCAGGGTACACGCTGGACAAGATGCCAGTCCACTGCTGGGCACACACACAGACACACAGACACACACACTCACACCAGGGCCACTGTGGGAGGAAATCGGACCACCTGTAGGAAACCCACATGAACACAGGGAGAACCTACAAACGCCACACAGACACTGTAGCATCTCAGGTGCAGGACTGAGCCCAGAGCCTCAGCACTGTGAAGCAGCAATGCTCACTACTGCACCAATGTGCTGCCTTCCACCAAAGACGCCATTGTAAAAAACACCACCACGTAGACGCCAGAGGCAATGCACATTTTACAGGTGTCCTTGGGGCAGTTCTCATTCCACACTCAGGAAAGGTTTAATGTTGAACTGGCTCAAGGTTGTATGGGATCTATTGACAAGACGCACCCTCCCTGAGAAAGAACAAAAAGCATTTCTAATTAGCAATGCTTGTTTCTAAGCGGTTATTCAGTGACAGAGGAAGAGATCCCCCAAACACTCTCTGCTGGACAGACAAGAAGGAAGACTCACTCCCCTTGTGCTCGTCAGCACAAAAAACATCCTCCAATTGTTGCAATGACTATAATGTCTGGTTGACTCAGATGGCTTGAAGTGAAATAAATTTGTGTAAATATGTGTAACTACAAGAGGCATGTTTATAAAAGGCCCATCATTTTTCTCAGTCAATTCAAGATTGTCACATTGAACATTAACATACTGGTGCAGTCGACTTGACAGAAAGTGCAAGAAAGTTAAAAAAACCCATTACCATTCTCTCCATTATTTAGACATTAAAAGCTTTAAAATCTAGCAGCTATTTTGCAATGCAAGCACAAAACTGTTAATTATTCATAAAGCTTGTCTCTTCTTGAAGTGGTTAGCTAAACTATTACTGACTGATATGTATTTTTTAAATCATATGTATTTACAAATAATCCAGTGAGCAATTTGCTCCATTGGGTGCAATACAAAAAATATAAATAAAACTGACATAATCTTTCATCTGTTTTACTCTAAATGTATGCATAGATTTCTTAAATGTCTGAAAATGTTTTAACAAAAAAAAGGTAATGCCTTTTGGCTGTTATTAACCTGTAATATTAAAAGATGTGCAAGCGTGTTATAGGATTATGAATTAAACATGGTGTAGAAAGTGTTTCGACTGTACAATTGGATCCCAAAAATTCATCTCAACAGTAAATCAATTACAGAGGCACTTACTTTTAGGTGTCACCAACAAAACCCCCCTCAAAAACAGAAAGTGTTTAGAAAATTTAAAAGAAAAACTCCTAATACAGTACATGTGTTTTACTCAGTCGGGCCCCCCCCGTATCGGTACAGCCCCTTCTCAGACCATAAATGGGGGTGATATTACCACAGCGGTCCTTGCTAGATGAATTCAGGGGGACCCACGGGGGGGCTGTTGACCTCAGCTGGGGGTCATCCGCTGGTTTCCTTCACACGCCGGTGCCCCTCTGGAGGAAGGACACGAAGGGCTATTGCTTGAGCTGCAGGTGCTGTGAGGTCACTTCCCGCTCGCCGCTCCGTCAGAAGCTTGACTCGGGCACGGACTTCTTCCGGCCCAGGGACGTGGTGCTGTAGCGCGTCCTCTGCAGGGTGGCGCAGGAAGGCCGGTCGGAGGCCTGGCCGCGGGGCTGAGGGGCGGCCAGGCTGCTCTTGTGGAGGGAGGCCGTCCTCCTCAGCGTCAGCTCCGCCTTGCTCTGGATGTTGGAGGAGCTCTGGGAGCGCTTGATGTCCGCGGCCGAGCGGCCGTGCCTCCCGCCGCCCACCCTCCCCTCGGCCCCGCCGTTGAGCGCCCCGTTGGAGAGGGACAGCCGGGAGGAGCTGATGGCCGTCGCTCTGCCCCTGCATGCGTCCGTCTCCCGGAGCTTCCTGGAGTCCTTCTTGAGGAAGCCGGCCTTGAGGAAGGAGAACCTGCCTCCCTCGTGGCTCCTGGCATCCTCGCTCCTCTTCGCCTTGTCCTCCCCGGCGAGGGGCTGCTGCTGCTCCTCCTCCCCGCCCGCCCCGGCCGAGCCCTTGCTCCTCTTCAGCGTGGTGTCCCAGCCCTGCGGGGGGGCGGAGCTCGGCGTGGGTGTGGGTGGCCCCCCCCCGCTGGAGCCCCTCCCTCCCCGGCTGGGCGGGGCCTCCTCCGGCCTACCCGCGGCATCCTGCTTGGTCTTCCGGGAAGACCTCCTGGTCAGGGTGCCCTCATCCTTCTGCTTGCTGCCCCTGCTCAGGGTGCCGCCCCTGTCGCCAGCGGAGGACTGCCTGGACTGGCCTTCTGGCACCTTGGCAGAGTCCGGGGGGCCCCCGTTCGGCCTCCCGATGCAGCCCACCCTGTTGGGGGGGCTGGCAGGGGCCGGCTGCCGACCCCTGGTCGGTGTCCCGCTCCCGTCTGCGGGGACGGTCATCAAGGGCACGATGGAGTCTTTCGTGCATCGCGGGCGGCGCCCCGACTCCAGGTACTCCACCAGCTCCCCGGGCGCTGGCTTGTGTCGGTCCTTGGACCCAAAAGACCAGCGCAGGGGCAGGACTTTGCCGACGCCCTCCTTGGTTTTCGTGGGCGTCCTCATGCTGACACTCCTGCCCTGAACCCCACGGACCAGCGGCCTGCTGTCGAAGCCTCCTGCAACACAAGGGAACAATCGTGTGCAAATTGCTCGTAGATGGGTCTCGTGCCCTTGTTCTGGCACAACGCAAAATGTTCCTTCCCAGTTTTTTAAGCTGTCACTGTGTTTCTGACACCGTGCACTAGCAGGGGACAGAAAGCGCGATGCATCTTCGGACACCGAACTCCTCTCACCTCTCTCGTCCTTCAAGGGCTCATCCTCAAAGACGGGGGACTCCGGGGAGTCGGGCCCGGGGGACACGCAGTTTGTGGAGGCCCTGGACACCAGGCTCCCCCTCTTGCTGTCTTCCGTCAGGCGGACTAGCCAGTGCTCAGACATGGAAGAACTGGTGGAGCCTGCGGACAGAGTGATCAGAGTGAGGGAAGAGGACCATCAGCCCACGCTGGAGAATGTCCCGCCTCCATCACAGACACCTTACTGATCCGCCAACTCCACTGCAACGAGGCGCAGTGTGCCACATGTGTCTAGTGCACCTTACGGAGGTATCAGGCATCAGGAGCAAAGGAAAGGCAAGAGACTCGAGAGGCTCCGAGTGTCGATCTCGAAAAACACCTGCAACGGGCACGGTCACAACCTGTCTCCAGGTAAGCCAAGTCTCCAGCTGATCGATAGAGAGACAGGTCGATGGTGGAGAGGCTGGCTGCTACGTTGAACCTACAGGAGATCACCCTGCAGCTCGGTAGCAAATGCACATAACGGTTTTCATTACCCGACTCTTGAGGCTGCAGTGCACTGCTTGTTTACAACAGACAGTCTGAAGGGCTCTAGAGATCAACTGAAACACATGAACGTGAATAGTGGTGTGTTTAGCCCTGTGGATGTCCATGTATAAAGTCATTATAAATATCAGTATATAGCACTTTGCACACCAAACTGATTTACAGATGGAAAAATGCTAAAACGCAAATTTATTGAAAGAAAACTATTGGATTAGAAAGCAATTCAATTAAGACTACGTTAATGTACAACATTAATATTAACGTTCTGGAACACGATTTGAAAGTCCCAGCTGAAGGTGAATTGTTGATGAAAGTGGAAGTGCTCCTTGAGGTTCCACAGACCTGTTGACTTTAAAAGGGCGTTTGCAGGTGAAAGAGTGCGAGTCTGAGGGTCCCACAGGGGTCCTCATTAGCCGCAGATGCTTCTGATAACACAAGGCAGTAAGGATGAGGGAGTGCAGAATTGGTCCCCTCACAAGGAAGGAAACAATGACCCTCCGGCCCACTGCTGAGCCCAAGCCCTTGAAGCAGTGGGGCCGAGACGCTGCCGGACCACCACAGCCTCTCCCCAGGCCCACCTTTCACAGAGCTGCTGGCTGACCAGGGAGGAATGGCGTTCCGTCTCTGGTAGAAGAGGATGTAGGCTCCCCTCGTACAGATCTCCTCCTCTGGAACCAGGTCCACGCTGCTGTCATCGTAACTGTACCACTGCCCGTCTACCGAGTTCCTGCAGTGTGCTGCACAGGGACACGCAGTTAAACACCGTGACGCACCTCATCAGGGAGGACTCACATCTGCGACGCTGGAACTGTGGGCTTCTTGTTTTCAGCCTGCTGCAAAAAGGACTCCAAATATTTTAAGCACAAGAAAATAATTTCTGTGCAGGTATTTCACATGCAGCCGCTGAGCTACTCATTTTTAAATGATGTTATTTTCTGGTTCGAATCTGGAAGCAGAACAGGCACAGAATCCCCCTGACATATGCAACCAGCATATAAACCAGGGCAATTCATTTTAAACCCAGTGACTCGCTGTCGACTTTCCAATCTGCTAGTTATAACTTCCTCTATCTTTCTTGAACACTTGAGGGCACTATTCACCATGCAATACATAGTACACGCTTGATTCTTTTTCAAACCTTTGCCTCTCGTTAAAACCATTTTTCTGCACCGGAAAAGCAATGACTCGGTATGTGCACGTGAATATATGCGTATCTGAATAAAACTCTCGGGAATATCCTGAAAATCCAGTGTCGCTTTTGTAGGGTGAGAGATTTACCAAATTGCAGGCTGTGTATTGGAATAACCTGCACAGAGACAGATCCCTAATTTCGTTTAAACATCACTGACTTGCGGTTTCTGTCAGATCGACTCAGGAGAGATTTCCAATCCGCCAGTCATAACTTCCTCCTCCCTGAGCACATGGGGGCACTCTTCACCAAGCAACACGTACTGTAGCACAGGCTGGATTCTTCTCAAGCCCAGATGCTCTGATCAAGAGAACCAGCAGTGTGGAGGAGTGACAGAGGCTGCCAGTTTGTGGGGACCTGTTTTGCAGAATGTCTGACAAGAAGTGCTAGGATTAGGACAGTGACGTCACCGATACCTGTGTAGTGGCCCCCATGCATTCCTCCATGGTGGTTGCAGACGGCGTACAGGTCGTACAGGACGTCCGCCTGCTGGCCGCCGCTGGGGGGGTGGGGCTGCTTCCAGGCGGGCCAGGGGCTGAGGCTCCTCTTGACCAGGTGCGGTGCCATATCCAGGCCGGCCAGGGGGAAGCGCACCAGTGTGGACAGCTTGTTGCGCCGCTCGCCCACCTGCCGGAAGCGCTTCAGGTGCAGGATGAGGATGTCGGGCAGCGTCCAGAGGCTCAGCTTGACCATGCCCTGCTGCAGCTTCTTGCAGTGCGGGCACTTCCAGGCATCGTCCGGCGCCAGCTGGGGGGGAGGAGGGGAGAGCGGACAAGACAGGGGGATTAGGGCGCCCTCCGGAGGAACCCCCAGGAGAGGAGGGAGCTGCGCCAGCACGCGCAGTCTGCAGAGGAACGGGTAAAGCTTTATTCCCTGCTGAAAGGAAAAGAAGAAGATGCAACGTTTCAGCTGTGGAGCTTCCTCAGGTGTCAATGATTCACCTTTTTCCACTCCTGTATTCACCTGAAGAAGGCTTCACAGCCACAACGTTGCGTTTTCTCTCTCCTCTTTTCAGCAGGGAATAAACCTATTACTTGTTCCATAATAAAAATTATGTTAAAAAAGTATCAAAGATCACCTTTAAATAAACAGAGGTACTTTCACGGTTTCTATAAGGACGATCATGTTTCGCATGGCAGCCCTGTCACTGCTGGGAAGCTGCTAAAAGGAATATCTTGTAAAAACCAAATGCACTTGTGCTTAGACAGCCAACAAAGAAGCACTGCTGTGTGACATTTGAAATCCATGAAATTGAACTCATTTATCTCTTGTTGTGTCACCAAGCCTCTGCTGCATCCAGAGCCTTGTGAAATGGGATTGCACCTTAATTCTGTAGCGGTGCTGGGCTGATTCAATTTCCTCCGGATCCCAGACGACAGCAGGAGAGGGGAGGAGGATGAGAAGGGTGACAAATTTTACGTAATGTGTTTGAGCCTGAACGTACGAAAGAAGAGAAGGGGAATCTTAACTTCAGTCGCCAGGCAGATCGTAAGGCCAGAGGGGTATCTTTGGAAATCAAATGGAAGGAAGTTAGGGATGAGGAAGCATAACGGTGAGTCATGTTGTGCATACTGAGAGAGCATGAGTGTGCATACTGAGCTGACAGGGGTTTTGAAGAACAATCTGAATTGAGTTACTAAAAACACCACATGCAAAAAGTGAAAAAACTCTTTTGTTAAACCTGTGGCAATCCTTCTGCTCTTACATCCTGAAACCCTTTTTCCTGTCCTTTTCAGTGACAGCTTAAATCCTAAATTCAATTTGGGGAATGCTACTGTACAACGCCAAATAAAATACAATCAGGAAAAGCTTTGCAGACGTGTTTACTTGTGAGGGCTTTCTTCCGAGTGCTTTTCAATCCAAAAGAAGAAAAAAAGGAAAAAAAAAACAGACTTCCTTAAGTGCCACTACAGTAATACCCTGAATAATAGGTTGAGCCTCAGGTTACAATTTAATGAACCGCTGTACACTCAGCTATTTAATTTTTGTTTTATAAACAACGCCCTGAGGATTTTACAAAATGTACCTATGCCAGGAGAATCAGCAAGTCTTGTTAGAGAATGCAGGTGAGGAACGAGGTCAGAGGAGGCTCAAAGAAGGGAGACCAATCAACCCATCGCAGTCAGTCAGTTCCTGTGTGCCTCTGTCCCTTGCACTATCCCTGGCTATCAATCTTCTCCAGAAAACAAACAGCTCTAATGACGCACCGGAGTGTAGCCGACTGCAAAATCCTGCTCCTGGGGCTATTTTAATATTTCAGAGATTTGTGATCCAGCGTGTTCGGTGTTCACGAACCAGAATTTGATCGTCATGTCGCATCTCAGTCCGCGCAGGGTGGGAAGAGCCGAGGGGGAGGCAGAGAGACGCGGGCATGAGGAGCCAGGGCCGGAGACGGCAGGGTTACCTGTTCCTCTTTGGTGTAGAGCTGGAAGCACTCGTCCAGAGTGCAGCTGTGCTGCTGCAGGTGCTGCTGCTGCTGAGTCCTGACGCTCTCTGCATCCTGAACCACCTCCTCCTGGATGTTGCCAAACAAGCTGAGGGCAGACAGTGGTGCACATAAGTGTTATGTTACATACAGTCACCCAGACATGCAAGAACAGGTGCGTATGGGCTCACTTACTGTAATCACTGGTCAATTTAAGATGAAAATGAGGACCTTCTCTTGTCCTGAATACTGTTTATTTTTTATTGTAGGGGTGTATTTGTTACTCTTGAGATCAGCTGCCCTAACCTGCTTTGGTTTAGGAGCTTAAATGAGAGGAGATGCCAACTTGCCATCGACAGATGTCGATGGGAATGGAATCCTGGGGCTTTGTGACATCATCAATGTGCGCAGACCAACTGGGCCATCCTGGGACCTCAGGGTGTGTTAACCATTTGAACTGATTAACTGAATAGAGCACATTTGCAGTGTAAATTCACTTGATCTGTCTGAGGGGTGACTTAAATGTATTTGTTTGGTTTCCCTGAAAGGTCATGGGCTGGGGCTAAGTGCTGTCAATGCACTGCCTTTTGGAGTCTGATAATATGCTGGACCCTCATCCATTAAAGCAGAGCTTAAAGTAACAAACATTCCTCACTCATTCTATTACACTTTACCGTGGTTAATTTATGTTTTGCTGATAAGCATTATTCTGCGCACATAATGCAGACATGCTGAACCAGCACATGATCTACCAGTGATCTATCACTATCTGGAATAATAGATACACTGGAATGATAGTGAGCAGTTGGACTGTACTGGTGTGGTGCACAGAAAGCTGCTGGCTCACCACTCTTTGATTTTATGCTCCCATTCAATGATGAGCTTCACATGGGGAGGTCCGCCGGGTCCACAGAACTTCAGGGCTCTAGGGAGACAATGGAAGACAGCTCAGTGTTCCAGCAACACCACCCTGGTGCTGAACTCTCAAACACGATTTCAACTCCGGGCTCCCCGGACCGGAGGCTGCTCCCCCGCTCTCCAGGAAGCTCATTCTTGCAGATTTCAGAGAGCATTTTAATGCACCACAGTGAGGAGAGACCTCTGACACGCTTTCCTCTTCCCACTTTACTATGATACTGCAAAAGAACGGCAGTCAGGTGTGTAGTGACTAGTGATGTCCACCTGGAGACGACCTGGACCCCAGATCCCCATCTCTTTGGTAGGAAGTCTATTGATGTTTCACAGTTTAAACTGCCATCACACAATGTCATTTCTGCTTGACTGGCAAGAAGTCTTGTCTTATGTTTAATGTCTTTCTCATGATGTCTTTTCTCAATTAACCTAGCCTAAACTAAAATGAAACATATTACATTCTTCTTAAATGAGCATTTTGATGCGTGACTTAGGCACTTTGGCACAATTCACCCCAGATTTGGCCACAGGGTGTCTGTTTTTTACCAGAGAAAGGGAGAACCTTGCAAGTCCTGAAGGACCGTATGAGCTATAGTCTGTTTCTGTGAGGAGGACGGGTGTGCTAGGATTAAGACCGGTAGCCAAAGTCAGCCACCCCAGTATTTCATATTTAATCCTATCAACCATCTCTTCATGCCACTGTACACATCTTGCAACCTGTTTTAAGTTTTAATCATGCATAAGTTTCATATTTAGCCCCAGTGATTTACTTTGCATAATACTGCACTCATCTCATATCTTGTTTTAAGTGTGCAGTTGACTTTCCCAGCAGTATCTGCCTTCTGATGCGACTGTACAGGCTGTTTTTTGGGCGTCTGTTTCTGCTAGGCCAGGGGGAAGGCAGAAAGAAAGTTAGCCGTTCCAGCTAGTCTTCATTATTTTTGTAAGTGCAAACCCTTAAGGAACACTCTGAGCAATAAGAGGTAGTTGTGCCAACAGGTTGGGATTGATCGGTGATTGGTCACCTCATGCTTGGCCATGTGTTTGAGTTGACGCTCCCCCCGCTGAGCCAGTGGGTGCTGTTTCAATCTGTTTCAGGTTGCAAACACAATATTTGATTTGGGACTAAGAATAGAATCGAGGCTATTGAGCCTTTTATTTTTCTATGGCAATGAAATGAGAGTGATTGCAGCATGATGTTCTATCCACACCTCCCAAGACTCGCGAGGAAGATCAGTAGCACACACGGACTTCACACACTTCATTATCTGTCTCCTGATGCTGGAGTTCCTCCATCTCAGCTGGCAGCTGGATGGGCAACATTGGCAAGTTTAAAGGGTAGAAAGAGGGCATGTGACTATGAGAATTTAGAAAATAACCTGAAACCCAGAAAACAAATGAAGGAATCCAGCAGGAACACATGGTTTTGCATGTTCCTAAACCACTGGGTATTGTGACATGCGGCTACCCCACAATAACATCACTGCACCAGCGGGGAAGGGAGAAACGGTACACCTGCATGATGACAAGCTGGGCGCTTCTGCACCCATTGGGTCAGCGAGGGCACTTCAACACAAACACATGGCCAGGCATGAGCTGACCAATCACTGGTCAGTCCCAACCTGGCCCGCCACAGGGGCACGGGACAGTGACCGCGTGGGACACGCCTCCTTTACAGCTGGGAGGAAAGTGGACCATTCTTCTTCAAGAGCAAGACTAAACTGTCTCCTCCGCTGTGAGCAAACTAAGACTTTCCCGTGTCTTTCACACGCCCCCTCTCTCAGTATACAATTTATATACATCATAAATATATATATATATTAAAAGGAGTTTGGAAATACTCAGTTCTTGGGAAGCAATAGTGCTACATTCGCCATTGCCTCCCCTTGATTTTAATACCTCCAGAGTCCTTCACACAACAACCGCATTAAAACTGAGTAACACACTGGAAATGACTGTGAAACTCATTTAAGTTTTAAAGACACCCAGCTTAACCCCAGCCAGACTTTTAATGCATTGATTATAAAAACATAAATATTGAAAAAAGAAAGCATTATCTCCAGCGGGATGAAAAAGTGCTTCTGGGAAAGCGAAAACAGCTAAGAGATTGTTCTCTTTCCTTCACACCACAGATTTTGTCCGTTTCAGCGGATACAGCCTTGCCTTCTCCTGCCTTACGACACGGGCACTTACAACGTGATGTTGATTTATATAGCTATTAATATGAAATGGCAACTTGAAAAGATGAGTTTCTTTAAAACTGTGTGCAATGCTTTATTCTTTCCAAGCGACATTAATCATTAACATTGATAGATGTATTATTGGGGCATCGCACAAAATTCCCTGTTCTGGGTATTAATAGGGTTTCAAGCAACTTGTCACCATAATGAAAATTTCATGCACTACCATACAAATTATTTTTTTGCTTATATATATATATGATGTGCGTGCATCATCATCATCACTGTGTGTGTAGCTGACAGTGTTCTGCAGTTACTGCCCTAACAGGCTGAGGTAAATGACTTCAGTTTAGAGCCTAACCATAGATCCCTATTTATGAGACAGAAATCCTATCCCAACCTAATCCAGCAGGCTATATAGGGATGGATGGTTTCCCCTTCACTGTAAGTTTCTAATGCCTTAATGTTATAAGGAATTACGCTCGATAGGATATGAATGTGAAAAAGGTGACAGGTTTGTAAAAAAAACCAAGCTGTTCTAATCAAAGACGATGTGCTCCACTACGTTTAACAGAAACCTAACTGTGCTATTAGAGGGCTTATTTACAAATAAAAAGGGCAGATTGGAGCTAATTACATGCTGATTTCCAGCAGGTGTACGATTCAGATGTCAATGAGAGGTGGTAATCAGATTAAACTGTGCTTTTCAAGCCTTCAGGCCTATATGACACTGCCTGTTCTCACTGTGATTTAAAGCACAGGGCAACAAGAAACTGCTGACCTTGTTCCTCTTAGCCTACACACACTTCAGGTCTGCGAGACTGTGTTCAGAGCTGTGTACAGAAATGCATAAACATGGCAGATTGTAAAAATGGAAAGAATATGATGTGCTGTGTCAAACCTGAGCTAGTCCACTCAGAAATCATTTGTTTAATGCATCGCTGTTCCACAACTGTGCTGCTTTAAGGAGTTTTTACAGTCTGCTCTTGTATTTCAGCCCCATTTGGAGGATGTGGTACGGACCACAAGCAGGCTGTTCATCACGGCTAAATAACTCCGCTGAATTGAACTGAAGTGAAAAAGAAGGGAAATTAATCACTTAGCAAAAAAAATCATAATGTAAGAAGGCACAGTGTAATTTTATGCCACTGTAACTCTTTGGCATGGGTGGAAAAATGTGTGAATAATAGATCTTGCATGCAGAGCGTATTTCCACCTTGGCACACATAGATGAGGATTAAAAACAAAGACCAAATTAACCAATCTGAAGGAGACATATACTAGGCTCATTATCTCTGAATGTTTATTTTCTTTGTTGGCAATGGAAAACAGCACACATTTTAATTAGATAAACTTAACTTCCGAGTTCTGTTTTGATGTAGGTAGGCCTTGTCTACATCAGAAATGCTCCATCTGCTTCGAACATCATAAATTAAGTGGGTTCTGCTACTCCTTACAAAAAGTAAATCCTTGAGTTTCTTGTCTGATCTTTTCAGCAATACAAAACAAATTATTTATAATAGCAATGCTATAATTCATCCTGTCTAAAATCCACCAAAGTATTTACACTAAAGACAGTTTCAGCTGTTATACTGAGAGGCAGTGAAAGCCCGACTGATTTTATGATGGTCTTGTTAGTAAAGCAGAGGCTAACACTGCAGGATTACAGTGGTCCTCTGGGAGCTGAGGACACTTACATTTAACAACAAAAACCCCACCCGGAGTTTTGCACCCAGGATCTGCCGAAGAGTGATAAAGACGTTGTTTCCAACGAAACGTTTGTATATCTGTTCATTTTGTTATATCAGATTTAGACTCAAAGAAGATGATATCTTGGTACCCAATGACATCCAACATATTGACGTAATAATGCATATTATCCATATTATCCAATTAAAGAGAGTACAATTCTTTCACATTATATGATCCCTTTCATGTCTGCTGTAACTAAAGCTGCAAGAGTTCCTGTCTTTGGTCTTTCAAAGAGTTAATGATTTCACTCCCCCGTCTGATAATCTGACAATCTAATTGTGCATAATTTCAATCTCCAGTCGTGCCTTGATTTTCCATAATTATTACTAAGAATAATGCAGCAAAAAATTAAAATAGCATTTCCAATTAGATGGGTGGGTTTAATGAAAGCATACATTATGGCCGGGAGAGAATTACTAAGGTAAAGCTCATGTGTCTTGGAAACACTTGAATATTATTACCATACATTCAAGACTGAAGCATGATAGTGGTATTTCTTTTACTGAGCCTAAGTAAAACAAGGTTTCATATTTTAATATTTTCCTTCTGCTTGTAGTTATAAATACATGTAAAACGGCCAACAAACAGGCATTTTACAACTTCAGTCAACACACTGATTGATAATGTTTGAAATGTTATGTTTGATTTGATCTCCCTTGATCCCACACAGTAATTACTAATCAAAGTTATTAAAACCAAATATCTCTAATCCCTTTTAGCCCCTGTAATCACACCAGGATGGGGCTCCATTCAAAACTCAATCAGATTAGATGCCTGTTTTATTAAAATGTTCTCGTATTTTACAGTGATGTGCACGCTGTTATAGAACCAACATCTGTGCTGCGGCTCACTCTGGTTTTTCCTTTATAGCAGATGGTTTTTTTTAACTCTTGCGGGGTGCCTGGGAGATGTCATTTCCGAATCTGCTTTAGACGAAAATGAAAAAGAAAGCGTTCCCATGTTGAGATCTGTAAGCCTGTGGGTACTTTCTGCAGTTTCTGAAACAAATGCATGCCTACAGACTCCAGACTGATACAAGACTCTGATCACTTCGAGAAACTTGATAGTGAAATAAACATCT